GTAAAAAAAAAAAATATATATATATATACCAGAAGTCCCTAAAGTGGATCAAGGAAGAAAGGGAAGAAGGAATGAGCAGATGCAGCAGTAAACCAGATTTACACGGCGGTAGTCCGCACAATACTGGGTATCAAGGGCACACCTGACGAGTCAGGCTTACAAATCCCATGTTTTCACAAACTTTATGATGCAGAAATGTAATGCAAGAAAGAACAAAGATTTAATACAAAAGAGTTGTATTGATTGAATAAGAAATACAAAGGCAAGAGAGAATGAGGAGCTTCTCACTCTAGGCTCTCTTACACGAAGGTGTTTCTCACTTACAAGTTCTGCCTCACATCATGGGCAGAGATTAGAATAAATAGGAAAACTAAATTTACTATTACAACAGTGATTATTATTTCAACAGTAAAATGAAATTTTTCGCTACAGTGAATTACAGTGAACAGTACACTTCCGCAAAATGAGCAGTAATGACTGGAACTGTTGATGTCTTCAGATTGGGTAGACGTCTATGTGGACTTCTAGACTGGAGTAATATCGGTAGATGGCGATGACTACCTGTGGTATAGGGAAATCTTGAAATTGAATGTTAATATGACCACCTGGGTATAAGATTATCATGATTACCACAAAATTTTATTGATGATTGATAAAGATTAGTCCTCTTCGGATGCTTGGTTAAGATTAATTCCGAAGCAATCGTCTTCATTCTGGAAGTATGATCCGGATGAAGAAGATGGGGAAGATACTTCTTTCTTTGCTTTTCCTTTTGACGAACTTGATTCTGAGTCCGTCTGAAGTAGATCAAGGATATGATGAAGATTTGCAATTAAAACTTCATCATTTGTTGACGCTGCAAGGGCAGCTGCGATTTTAGCCTTTCGATTAAGAAACTGGCAGGTTTCTGGATCAGCGGCCTTAAGATTCTTTAGATTCTTTTAGAACCAAAGTGCCACTCCCTGAGTGTTTTCCCGGGAAGCATCAAACTGGTCCCACCATTTAACCGAGGCTTGCTTGCCTAAGATTGGGAGGAGCTTGGAGGTTTTCTTGAACTGGTGTTGCCAGGCAAAAATCCAAGCTAATGAAAATTTGGAGAAGAAATGAAGAGATGGGTGGAACGGGTTGGTTCCTTCTTCAAATCTTGCTTTGAATTGATTGTATCCTTCCTTAATGTCTGGGGGAAGGATATTTTGAATCGGTCCGAAGAATTCCCACCATTCTGCAAACCATTGCGGAAAGAAATATCGAACCTTCTGTTTGAAATAAATAAGCCAGGAATGCCTATGATGTTTGTTTTGAAACCAGAAAACATTTGTCCAGGCATTGATGTAATCCTAGTAATTATACCCTACTGGGTCAAAAGGCTGAGAAAATTTTCTGACTTGATTAGGTTTGTTTTCAAAATCTTTAAAAGTAAAGATTTTAAGAATTTGAATTGTTGAATGTGTGATAAGTTGGTTATCATTTTTGTCAAAATTATGTTTAATAGAAACAGATTTTGAATCCACCAAAATAAATTCGTAAAATTTCCTTGTCTTGTTAAGACTAAGGGGTTTGAAAAGAAAAGTTGGTGGAAAGATTTTTTCACAAATCTTGTTTGGGTTTGGATCCCAGAATTCGGGCTCCATTTGGATTGTTGGATAAAATCTTCCTTCTTTTGGTAGATAGGAAGAGGGTTGTTTCTGGGTAACTGGCTGAGGCTGCTCAACTTTCCCTTTAGAACTCAACACTATGAGTGCCTTCATCTTCACCTAAAAGAAAACCACATAAAAACAGGACGGTGAGAGATAGATAACATCATATATGAACATAGAGCTACCCAATTCCCACCCCACAC